GTAATTTTAATAATAAAAAAATATTTTTTTAAAAAATTACTAACACAATAATTGCGTCAGTAATATTTTTCAAAATGAAATTTTTAATTAAAAATTTAAAAAATTACCGATGTAAGCTTTGCGTCGGTAATTTTGACAATTAAAAATTACCGATGAAATAGTTGCATCGATAATTTTTGAAATTAAAATTTTTATTTTTTAAGAAAATTACCGACACAAAATTTGCATCGGTAATTTTGAAAATTAAAAACTTTATTTTTTCTAAAAAATTATCGAGACTTTTTGCGTCGGTAATTTTTTGTTGAAATTGCGTTGGTAAACCAACCCAATGCCCTGCGTTGCTAATTTTGCGTCGGAAATTCCTGTTTTTCTTGTACTATCAGGGCCCATGAAGCCCATCCACGACCCCAATGCACATGAAACTCGATGCCAATGATGTTGCAAATGTGTGTGCGATTCAAATCCCCGAAACGCCCGTACCAGGCCACAATTGACGAGATATGCAAGCGAATCGCTCAACTCATCTTTATCAGCTAATGACAATGCCCATCCGCGGCGCCGATTGGTTTGGAACCCGATACGAGCTCCACTACAAGCACTTGTGCCGTGCAAGTCCTATAGGAGTCCCATTCGTGTCTTGGATCCCAAGCTACGCATGCTTGAATTTTAGTGGCTCGTCTCGGTTCATTTGACCAGTAAGCGGTTTGTGGGGCCTAGGAAGCCCACTCGCGACCCCAACCTGTACAAAATCTGATGCATATCTTGAGATCGTGATTTGGATGGGTCTTCGAAGACTTGAGTTGCATAAGTGCGTGTGGCAGGGTTAGTACCATGTTTCAGGCCGATCGGGGCCACGAACAGGCATCCTGTGCCTGACAAACCGTTTGTCAGATGAATAGGCTGAGTTGAGCATTTTGCTTGCACATCACATGTTTTGTGGCCCAAATGGGTGCCTCGAGTGATTTGCACATCACACATGTTTGCAACGATGTTGCCGTTGGGCTTCGTTTGCATTGGGGCATGGATAGGCTTCTTGGGCCTCGACAAGCCAATCACCAATCAGCATAAACTGAGATAAACTATAAGCATGCGGCGTGCATATCTCTGCATACATGGCTCGAATTGGGCTCCCTAGGAACTTGGGCCTCACACACACTTGTAGCAGTGCTACTGTCGGGTTTCATGCACATCAGGGTCACGGACGGGCGTCCGGTCCAATTGGTTGGTAATTGGCTCATCGAGGCCCAAGTAGCCCATCCATGGCAATGATGCACACAAAACCCAATGCTAGCATAGTTGCGAGTGTGTGTGAGGTGCAAATCCCTCGGGGTGCCCACTTGGGTCACAAATCACGAGATATGCATGCTAATTGCTCAACTCAACTTAATCAGTTAACGAACAGTTTATTGGGCACAAGATGCCCGTCCATGGCCCTGATCGACCTAGAACCCGATACCAACCCTACTACAAGCACTTGTGAGGTGCAAGTCCCACGGGAGTCCCGTTTGAGTCATGGATCCTGTGATACGCATGCTTGAAGCTTAGTGGCTTGTCTCAATTCATTCAACCAACAAATGGTTGGTCGGGGCCCAAGAAGCCCGTTTGTGGCCCTAACGTGCATGAAACTCGATACCAACACTATTACAAGTGCATGCAAGGTGCAGTTCTCGTGGCACATCCATCGGGGCCTCGAATCCCGAGTGACACGTCATTATTGTTTGGCTCGGTTTTAATTGGCCGACAAGCAGTTCATTAGGCAAAAGGCATCTGTCCGTGGCCTCGATCAGCATGAAAACTAACACTAGCAACGCCACAAGGGTGTGTGAGGTGCATGTCCCGAGTGTTCCCATCGAGGCATGGATCCTAAGATATGTGCGCTAGGTGCTTATAGTTCATCCTGGTTCAACTAGTTGGTGATCGGCTAGTCGAGGCCTAGGAAGCCCATTCGTGACCCAGCACACATGAAACTCGATGCCAACACTGTTGCAAGTGTGCACGGGGTGCAAATCTCTTAGGATGCTCGTCTAAGTCACAAATCACGAGACATGCAGGCGAATGGCACAACTCGTCTTAATCGGCTAATGAATGGTTTATCGGGCACAAGATGCCCTTTCGCGGCATCGATTGGCCCAGAACCTGATACTGTCCTTACTATAAGCACTTGTGCGATACGAGTCCTAGGAGAGTCCTGTCCGAGTCACAAATCTTTAGATACGCATGCTTGAAGCTTAGTGGCGCTTCTTAGTTCATTCGGCTAGTAAGCGATTTGTGGGGGCCTAGGAAGCCCATCTGTGGCCCCCACCTACATGAAATCTGATGTATATCTCGGGATCCGTGGCTTGGACTGTCTCTCGTGGGACTTGAGCTGCACAAGTGCGTGTGGCGGGGTTAGTATCGTAATTTAGGCCCATCAGGGCCATGGACGGGCATCCTGTGCCCAACAAACTATTTATCAGCCGATTAGGCCAAGTTGACGCTTAGCTTGCACATCATGTGATTTGTGGCCTGGATGGGGGCCCTGAGGGATTTGCGCATCACACACGCATGCAACAGTGTTGCCACCGGGCTTCATTTGCATTGTGACCACGTATGGGCTTTTTGGGACCCAACAAGCCGATCACCAACGAGCAGAAACCTGGATGAACTATAAGCATCTAGCATGCAAATCTCAGCATCTGTGGCTTGGATAGGACTCCCCTAGGACTTGGCTGCTTGGGCCCAATAAACTGTTTACTAGCCCAATGAACTAGGACGAGCCATTAAGCTTAAAAAATGCTTGTCCTAGGATCTGTGACTCGGACTGGACTTCTGCGGGATTTGCACCTCACAAGTGCTTGTAGTAGGGTTGGTATCGGGTTCCAAGCCGATCAGTGTCACGGATGGGCATCTTGTGCGCAATAAATCAATCGTTAGCCGATTAAGCCGAGTTGAGCAATTAGTTAGCATATCTTGTGATTTGTGACTTGGGAGGGTGCTTTGAGGGATTTGCACCTCACACGCACTCGTTATAGTGTTAGCATCGGGTTTCGTGTGCATTGGGGCCATAGATTCTTGGGCCCGATAAGCCGATTACCAACTAATTGAATCGGTTGCTCGTCTATGGCCTTGATCGGCATGAAACTTGACACTAGCAAGCTACAAGTGCACGTGAGGTGCAAGTCTCAAGAAAGCCCCATCTAAGTCACAAATCTTGAGATATGCATGCAAATGTTTACAGTTCATTCCGGTTTAGTTGGTTGGTAATCGACTTGTAGGAGTCCAAGAAGCCCATCCGTGGCCCTAATGCACAAGAAACCCGATGACAACATTGTTGCAAGTGTTTGTGAGGTGCAAATCCCTAGGGGCGACCATCTTGGTCGCAAATCATGTGCAATGCAAGCTAATTGCTCAACTTGGCTTAGACGGCTAACAAACGGTTTATTGGGCACAAGATACTTGTCCGTGGCCCCGATAGGCCCGAAACACGATACAAACCCCACTATGAGCACTTCTGCGATTCAAGTTTCGCAGGAGACCCGTTCGAGTCATGTACCCCGAGATACACATCTTCTTCATTATTCTTACATTTTCTAAATTTTCACAATTTCTTTTCATTTGATTGAAAATAGCCAAGACTTTAAAGAAGTAATTGAAAATATACTCAGACTTTTTCATATGTAAAGCTTCAAATTTGTCTTTTAATGTTTGGAGATTTACTTTTTGCACTTGCCCTGCTCCTTTGCTAGAGGTTTGGAGCTTTTCTCATGCCTCCTTGGCTAATGTTGCACTTGAAATCTTTTAAAAACAATCATCATCTAACGCTTGATAGATGAGAAAGAGAGCTTTCTTGTCTCTCTTTCTTGAATCTCTTGAGCTATCCTTTTATTGTTAAGATAGCAATGCCTCATCTTTTGGCTCAACATAGCCTTTGTCCACAATCTCCCAAACATCGTGTGCTCCAAGGAGAGTCTTCATCTTGATACTCCAATAATCGTAGTTGCTCATATTAAGCATAGGGACTTGGAAAGAAGTCATGCCATTACTCTTCATGACTAAGAGCTTTTATATCACTTTGTTGGAAGTGGGTGTTTTATAAGTTATAGGATATTTGAGAGGAGAGAATTTTTATAATAGAAAAGTAGTATACATGAGGATTCTTTATTAATTCTCAACTTTTGGCTTGACACAAAATGGAAAGACCCACTTCTATTTATATTTGTGGTACCTCCACAATGAATAGTTAGGATTGTGCCAACACATTTTTTATCCAATGACTAAAATTTCCTCTCTAGAATTCTCCATCAAAATATCTATCTTCTGTCTAAAATATCTATATATTTTTTTAAGATTATTTTAAACAAAAGGTCTCTAGAATTTGGACTCATGGGCTCATAGTCTCCAATATAGCTAATTTATGAAAGGCCCAAAAACTAAGTCTAAAATATTATATGGGCCAAATCAAGTTTAATTATTCAACATAGTTTTGATTGGAATGAAGGTGGCGGGCAGACAATACAGGCTCGATCAATGGGAATAGCCGCATAATAGAAAAACCTGGCTTGCCTTTGTTTCAATCGAAATGACGGTGACAAACAATAATGATTTGATTGAGACTACAGATGACACTCACTCGATTGGAATGTTGTTCAATCGCAAAGGAACTCCAAAATAATAAATCGATGATTGATACAGTTTCAAGATGAAAATGATTAGCCGTGTGAGAAAAAAATAAAGTTAAGAGTATATTTGGTATAAATTTTAACAGTTTCACATTCTGGTCCTTAGAAATTTTTTAAACAATTTCTCAATATTATTTTTTTTTCACTTCAAATTCTTTACTAACTCCTCCTACTTTAAATTTATTTTAATTTATTTATAAATTTCTAATTTATTTGTACGAGTCCGTCAGCGGCCAATGCAGTGCATCTTTAGGGTTGAATTTTTTTCCTTTTTTTTTTGGGGGGGGTGGTTGGAATTTATTTTATATAATAATTTATCATATTAATAAATTTTTTGTCAATTTAAGGGGGCCACAGCCCTTCTTCATTGTTCATGGTTGAGGGGAGGCGGCTATTGGCAGCTGAGACCCTTGAACCCCACAGAAGCAACTCTTTGCTAGCATCACCCTTGTGAATCATCACTTCCATGAAGCACAAGTTGTCTGTCATCACCCCTGTTGCTATCTGGATTGCTTTGATAAGCTGTTCCTCTTTGAACACCTGCAATGGAAGAGTTGTTCAGAGAAATGATTCTCCTTAAGAGCTAATGTTTATGTTTGAGAATATGGTGAATTAATTGAAGCAAGCGGTTATTTTGGTTTCAAGGCTTTACCTTAGACATCCAGCATTTGCCTTCGCCATTACAGATGGCGTCTACGAGCCCAGTGAAGTCCCAGTTCTTGACGATGCTGTAATGGCTGCCGTGGATCTCCACCTCTGTGGTGTATCCACCGTTGTTTATTAGGAAGATGATGGCCTCTGCCCGCACCGTATCATGGTCGACACATCTTGGGCTGTCATCTGAAAAGGATTTGAGTTAGAGAAAGGCTGTTTAATGAATTAGAAAAGGAAAAAGAAACACTCAAAAAATTCTTTGAAACTAAACAACCTTTATACATACAACATATGCAGCTGACAAACGCATGCATTACCTGGAAGCTACCATCACCAATGCAGGCAATCACTCGCTTATCCTTTGCAGCCTGAGCATAGCCAAGAGTTGCCCCCGCAGACCACCCAATTGACCCATACTGCATCTGGAACTTATACCTACAAATCTCAATTCCCAGTTTCCATAAAAAAATATATAGGAAAACTCTAAAATCAATCATCAAACTAACCACTTACCCACATCCTTCTGGCAATTTGAGTTTCTGACAATTAAACCAGGAGTCCCTTGTTCCTGCAATCACTACGTTCCCACTCTGACAGCATGCTCTGAATATGATAGAACATCTTGTTCGCCCCCAATGGCTCCTTCAAATTACCATTTGCAAGCCTCCCTTTCGGCATGTCAGTCTTACATGGTCTGTTAACTCCGATTTATTTGTCATATTTTCATATTAAGACTTGTTAAATCCTTTATCAGCATACGATATCTACAAATATTAATAAATCTGTTCAACACAAAAATAAAGTAATTCTCGTAAGCCGTGGCATTGAAATTGAGCTTCTTCGCCAAAGTTTTCTAGAAGTCTTTCATCAGAATGCACCCAAAAGCAAGCCCATTAACAACCATAACTCAATTCGGCTGTAGTACAATTGCCTTCTCCTCTTTTAAAAGCAAAGATAACCAACAGTGCTATAGTCGTTGAAGATGGGTCTGGCAAAGACGTAAGCATTAGCTGACTCCACGAACTTAGCATATCGTGCTCTGGCACTAGCCCCTTAGCCGACGGCATCACTGCCAGCAGGTACCCGCACGCGTCTGCCAATTTGACTAAGGCTTTGCAAGGATTGGCCACTCAGCTAAGGACCTTGGACTAATACCGGTTTCACCGCCATGTTCAGGAACTCTGCTGCTGCCTCCATCGCCGCCTCCAAACCCATCTGGTTACTCATCCTATCACTACCAGAAAAAACCCATTTTGTGACCGCATGATCGGTCACTAATTTCAAAGGGCAGCGGTCACTGAATAAATCAGTGATCGCATTTGTGACCGATTCGATCAATCAGAAAAACCCTTGTCACTAATCGGTTTTGTGACGAAACGGTCACTAATCAGTGATCGAATAAAATCGGTCACTAATTAATGACTGCAATAATCGGTCACTAGTTAGTGACCGCCATTACTTCGGTCACTAAATAGTGCCACAGTTTTCTATCATTAATCAATGACCGAAAAACATGCGGTCACTCATTAGTGACCGATTTTGCAGCGGTCATTGATTAGTGATCGATTGCAGCGGTCACTGATTAGTGACCGATTCTGGCGGTTACTGATTATTTTAGTGACCCTTCATATAACAAAATTAGATACACATTTAGTGACCGAGAATGCTTTAAGTAATCAGTGACCGTAATTTTTCCGTTACTAGTCAGTCACTATTTAGTGACCCCCATTAAACCTTATATCCTAACTGCGTGCAGGGTCACAATTGGGTCACTAATTTTGTGACCTCCTTGTGACCTATTGTAGGGGTCACTGATGCTGTAATTGCTATAATGCATATATATCATTTCAATTCCCATAATGCATTATAAAAATTCCTGTAATGCATTTGTATCATCTCAATTGTTATTCACCAGTAGCATACATGAAAAGTAATGAAACATCATTGTACAATTAGTTTGAAATGTCAAAATCTTTAATAATACAATTTGATAACTATTTTGGAATATAAAAAATGAAATAAGAATGTAAAGTATTAAAACATAACAATGTTAAACTGTAACTTCACTGCTTGTTGCCTTCTCTAGTACTCTGATTTTGTGTTGATGATCCACCTTGCATTGTGTTGAACTTTTCCAACATTGCAGCCATCATAGCCTCCTCCCTGGCTTTCATTGTCTCCTCTTTGGCCTTCAGTGTCTCTTCTGCTAATTTCTTGACCTTCTGAAGCACTTGTGCCTCTCTTGATGCTGCTGCTTGTCTCTCCTCTGCAAGCGCTTTAGCAATTGCTTCTTGTAATTGATCTGAACTGACATATCCAGGAGGAGGTGTTGTAGAGATGGATTCAGATGAACTGCCAATAGAAGCAAGCTCTCTGCAATGATAGGTGTTCCCAAAATCATAAATTCGATTCTTGCAAGGCCCACCACAGATTGCAACCCATTTCTGTGCATCAAATTAGCTTTCTAGAATAGGATTACTGCCATATTGAGTGCAATATGAGTGGTCATACTCCTCCTAGAAATAAATCAATGACAAGTAATCGCATTACATGATAAGACTAGAATAGAAGAATTAAAAAAATAGATTTTGGTTAGAAAGACAAACAGAACTATGCTTGTAACTCAGCTGTGATATTCTTGTAAGCAATCAAGACTATGCTTGTAACTGAACAAGTCTAAGCCATAAGCATTCATTGGTTTAGTTACAAACAGGGTTCCATTTATTTACAAGCAGATCTCAGTTCAGTTCCAAGTATATCTCCTTTCAGTTACATGCAGATATGTCCCTCTATTCAACCAAATTAGGACCAACTCTTAGAGGCAATGACTTGTTTAGTTACACGCATAGTTTTGTACGGTTACAATGAGAGGCCTGTATAGTTACAAGCACATTAAAGTTCAGTTATGTGCATATATCTTCATTGATAAAACGAAATTTAATCCCAATCACACAAACAACCATTGTTTCAGTTACAAGCAGGATTCTGTTCAGTTACAAGCAGATCTCAGTTTAGTTCCAAGCATATCTCCTTTCAGTTACATGCAGATATGTCCCTCTATTCAACCAAACTAGGACCAATTCTTAGAGGCAATGACTTGTTCAGTTACACGCATAGTTTTGTAGGGTTACAATGAGAGGCCTGTATAGTTATAAGCACATTAAAGTTCAGTTATGTGCATATATCTTCATTGATAAAATGAAGTTTAATAATCCCAGTCACACAAGCAACCATTGTTTCAGTTATAAGCAAGATGTTGTTCAGTTACAAGCAGATCTCAGCTTAGCCTCATAAATAGGTATTAGAAGCTATTGGAAGCTTACTTGCCTAAACGAAGTATATACCACATTCTAATTTAAGAAGTAAGCCACCTTCAAATTTAATAATCAGATGTTATAATAGGTCCAGTGGAAAATCAATTGTTTTAAGCACTTTGTCTAGAATAGTAGCAACATAAAGAACATGTATCTGCTGAAAATTATGGTAGTGAATTTTAATATATTGTGAATTTGGCATTAGAAGCTTACTCGAACCCTCTTCGACTTGTTGTCGACATAATCACCCTCTCCTTGTTTTCTCCGGTGAGTACGGTCATGGACCGCAACTTGGCTGACCCTCATCCCGCCTTGTTCCTAATGTATTATTAATTCATTAAGTGAATGATTTATATAAATAAATGTAACTGAACTGTGACTATGATAAGAAATTTATCATTCTACGTTTGTGCTCGGCAAATGAAATGGAATCGCCGATGTGCTTTTACAATTGATCCATCTTTCTCAGTCAATCTGTTCTCTCTGGCTTTTATGCACTTATTCTAATAGTTTGGTATATTCATCCAGCCATTACAGATTGCCTTCCAGTCAGTGGCGAGCATGTATTTGGGCACTGTTCTCATTAGATCCCTTGGGTCATCACTCATAACTTGCTGGATTGCTGCTTTCTTTATTTTATGAATTGTGCTCTTGTAATTTTTCTTGTGGGTTTGCTCCCATGAGTGCCATATACCGGCATCATGGTGTGGCAATCACGTGTACATCTCATATCATAATGAGAATAGTTTTTTTAAATTGCAAATATGCAAATTAGAGATTCTTGTTATGTAGAACAAATATTTGTTTGGATATATATAGTATCACCTTAAATTTATTAAATAGGTTGTCCTTCCTATCCTTAGGGACTTGCTCCAATGTTGCATGTGGCCCTAGATACCTCCTAAGAATAAACATTATGCTTGTTATGGGAAGACCAAACCCTGCAAAACTTGCCAACTTTCCAGAGGTTATTTTTGATACAAGCAAGTAGGCAGTTCAGTTTTCTGCTCTCTACAGGTTACAAAGGAATGTTGCATCTATTGACAAATTTTTGGTTTGGCAGTGTGATGTTTTCATTTATGTCTCTTGCGTGCAAACAACTCTTTTGGATAGCAAAGAGTTCTTGGCTCCTGTAATAACTCCCTTCGTGGCCATGCTAGCTTTCAGCAGGTACTTTTAGGCGACTACTTATAATTGGACCTATTTGTTAATAGCAGTCTCTTTATTCTGCTTGTTTTTCAAATAAACTATCTCTGACAGTTTCATTGTAACCATTTAACCTGTCGGCTCTCCTGCTGGTCTTGTTTTTCACCTTCTTCCACCGTAACATCCTCAAGAAGTGTATGCTTTTTCTTACTGTTCTTAGCATTCATTATGTTTTGACAACATTTCGATCTTCTTTTTTAGTGAGCATCTGCCCATTGCTTGAATACAATGCTCATTTCATATATTTTTATGACGTTTTATTAATTGCTTTGTAGCCTTACTGTGCAAGGATTCTCGTTTTAAGTACTTTTGGGGGAACTAATTGTATGTTTTTTCCACAAAGTATGAACAACCTTTCTGATAATGTAGCTGTCATCTCTCAGAGTCCTTTGTTTTTAGAAAATTGTTTTTATTTTTTAAGAAGCATCCTCTACATGTTTGCATATTGGAACATAATGGGATGGAAAATTGATATTCATACCAGTATAAGTTGCAGTCATGATGTGTCCAAATTACAATAACAACTATTTTACTTGCAAAAGTAAGGTGTAATTTAAAAATACTCTAACACCGTATTGGTGTGAGCTTCGTGCATGACATCAGAATATTTTCTTTGCAAAAATATGTTGATGATTATGCACTATGTAAAAAGTTATGTAAGGCATTCAAAAATTGTCTTTAAATTAGAATGTGTGTGTCAGCAGCCAAAACATTCATTTTCATTTTTTTCCCCAAAATTTCTAAAAAGTGGTGGTGTTGATGTTTGACATGGACAAAGGTGGCCTTTTAGAAGCGTTTGTGCTTCTTAGTCTGCCTTAAACATGTGGTTGAAAGTTTACTAAAGCTAGCAGAAATTTTTTGATATTTTGATTATTAAAATAGCTTTTCAAAGATTAAAAGTTAGGCTTTGATGTCTTGCTCTTCTCATCATTTGTTTCCTTTCTCTTCTTTAGGTTTTGAGATCTTTTGCTTCCTCTCTCTTCTTCTTTTGTAAGATGCTTTTCTTCCTATTTTGTAGGAATAACTTGCAGACCTATTTTCTATGTGAGATTCCCCCTTGGTAGTATTATACAACACTAA